CAGGGCAAGGCTGCTATGTAAGCTTTTAAGGTTCTTACCAGCAGGTGCAGAAAACTACTTGTCTTGTGGCTGCCTACAGTAAGTTTCCTAAGTTCCTTTGCTTATTAAACTTGCCACCTACCAACCTGGAGTGATGTGCCTTTTTCTTCAGTGGCTCATATGCAGACTGGTAAGTCCCTAATTTATATCTCTAGTCCCAACATCTTACTACACCCAGAGAGTTTAAAACCAAACTTATCCTATCTACCTCAAAAATCTACTCCTCTCTTGGATCACTGCAGTGGTCTCCCGAAACCATCTCCCTGAATCCCACCTTAGACCTAGCAGACTACTGCAGTCTAGTCTCCACCCAGTAGAGTGATCCTTCCAAAATATGTCAAATCAGATTAGTGCTCTGATCAAAACTCATGTATGTCTTCCTAGACCCATCACAGTAAAACCCAACATCAGTACTGTTAACCTGCACGGCTTCGCGTGGTTTGTCCCAGTCTCTATCCCACCACAAAGCAGCTCACTGATTCAGTTCCAGCCATACCAGTCTCTGTACCATTACACAACACTCCAAGTATGTTCCTATTCCAAGATCTTGACACTCACTACTCCCTCTTCCTAGAGTGACCCTTCCCCAAATATTCATGTGGCTTCTCCCTTACATCCTTCAGGTCAACTGCTCAAATATCACCTTATCAGACCGTTTTATCACTTTTGATAAATTCAAACTTCTACCTATCCATTCAACTACCTGCACCCATAGCATTCCCACTAATCCTTGTCCTGGCTTATTTTTCTCCATTGCCCAGATCACCACTTGACATACATTTATTTATTCATTTTTCCATTGCCTATCTTTCTTACTTAAACATTAACCCCCATGAAGTCAGCATTTTCTATATTCTATTTACTTTACATGTGTAAAACCTACAGAATACCTAGTACATGGAAGGTACTCAACAAACATTACTGAAAAGAATAAATGAATGAACAATGGAAAGAGGAGACATTCCCACAGTAAGCCTTAATGACAAGCAAGGGCAATTTCATGTGAAGGCAAGAGGATGGGTTAAACGGCACAAGCCCCACAGGGCCCCCCAGGTCCCACAGGCCCAGCAGACCCTCAGAGATGGCTGTGAGGAGTACTGTTACACCAGAAAGGCAGGCAAAGGCAGGGCCACAGAAACATTGTTTGGTGGAAGTCATGGCCGTGATAGAAAAAAAATAACTGTCCTGGCCGTGTAGCTCAGTTGGTCAAAGCGTTGTACCAATACACTAAGGTCGTAGGTTTGATCCCTGGCAGGGCACATAAAAGAATCAACCAATGAATGCATAAATAAGGGAAACAACAAATCAATAGCTCTCTCTCTCTCCCTTCCTCTCTCTAAAATCAATCAATAAAATTCTTTTGAAAGAGGAAAAAAGTTACCATATTTTGCTATCTATAATGTGCACTTTTTGCCCAAATTCTTGGGGGAAAAATTAGAATGCACATTATACATGGGTAGTACTAATGCTATAGCTATATAAATGTTTTTAATTCTTTTACTTACACTTAGGCATTAAAAGTGTAACTCTAGAAAGCAATAATAATACCTATATGCAAAATAATACCCTGGAATATGATCACTGGTCTTGTTTCTAAATATAAATAAATAAATAACTGAATTGAAAATTAAAATGAAAGTTTTTTTTTCCTGAAAGCTTGGGCCAAAAACCTGGGGGTGCATTATACACAGCTAGATACAGTAACCGACTGGAAAAAATAAAATGTTACCACAGAGTAACCTTGAAGACACCTTCTCAACCAAGTGATCAAAGTAACATCACCAGCAACTGGACAAATAAATAGGATATGCTTTCTAATATGATGCACTGATAATACAATGAAACTTCTGTGATATTCCTGCCTGAAGCACATACTCTGGATCTGATGATGAAAAAACATTTAAAAAACATATTAAGGACGTTCTATAAAATAATTGGCCAGTATTCTTCACAAATACCATGACACCATTAAAGTCCTAGAGGAGATCATTGGCAAGAAAATCTCAGATATTCCACGCAGCAACATTTTTACGGATATGTCCCCTAGAGCAAGGAATATAAAGGAAAGAATAAACAAATGGGATCTCATCAAAATAAAAAGCTTCTTCATGGCTAAAGAAAACAGTATTAAATTAAAAAGACAACCAACTGTATGGGAAAACATATTTGCCAATGATACCTCAGACAAAGGTTTAATCTCCAAAATATACAAAGAACTTACACGACTCCACTCTAGGAAGACATCGAACCCAATTAAAAAATGGGAAAAGTACTTAAACAGACACTTCCCCAAGGAGGACATACAGAATATCCAGAGACACATGAAGAGATGCTCAATATCGTTAGCTATCAGAGAGATGCAAATTAAAACCACAATGAGATACCACTTTACACCAGTCAGGATGGCTATAATAGACAAAGCAACAAACAACAAATGTTGGAGAGGGTGTGGGGAAAAGGGGACCTTAGTTCACTGTTGGTGGGATTGCAGACTGGTACAACCATTATGGAAAACAGTATGGAATTTTCTCAGAAAAATAAAAATTGACCTGCCTTTTGACCCAGCAATTCCACTACTAGGATTATACCCCAAGAATCCTAAAACATCAATTTCAAAGAACCTGTGCACCACAATGTTCATAGCAGCACAATTTACAATAGCCAAGAGTTGGAAGCAACCTAGGTGCCCATCAGTAAATGAATGGATAAAAAAATTATAGTACGTATACTCAATGGAATTCTATGCAGCAGAGAGAAAGAAGAAGCTACTACCTTTTGCAACAACATGGATGGAACTGGAAAGCATTATGCTGAGTGAAATAGGCCAGGCATTGAAGGATAAATACCATATGATCTCACCTTTGACAGGAAGCTAAAGAATAAAACAAACAAGCAAATAGAATAAAAACAAAGACGCTGAAATAGAGAACAAGTGGGCAGCAACCAAAGGGGAGAGGGAAGGGAACTTAAGGGGAAAAAGGGGGAGGGATTTTGAGGAACAAGCATGAAAGACACAGAGATGAGGACTGGGGGGGGAGGGTAATGGGAGGGAGGGGGGAGACCGGGCGGGGTGGGGGTGGGATGGGAGAAATAGATTTAAAAAAATGTACTTGAAAAGTAACTAAATAAAATTTATATTAAAAAAAAATACCAATGGCATGAAACACAAAGGCTCAGGACATTTTCTAGATGAAAGGTGACTAAACAGTCAAGACAACTGAATGCAATCAATGATTCTAGATTTTATTTTGCTAGAATTGACATTACTGGAGTGATAGGTAAAAAAATGTGAATACAGTGGATAGATTAGATAATAATATTCTATCAGTCCTAATTTGCTGACTTTGATAATTATGTGCTTACCAGTATATAAGAAAATGCCCTTTTTCTTAAGAAATACATACAGGTATTCAGGGGTAAAAGGGGTATTATATCTACAGTTTACTCTCACAGAGGTCAGAAAAAAAACTTTCATATGAATGAGTACATAAAACAAGTATAGCAAAATGTTACCATCTATTATATCTGCATTTAAAAACATATGACTTCTTTGTACCACTCATAACTTTTCTGTAAGTCAGAAATTACATCAAAATAAAAATTTTAAGTAAAACATAATAAAAAACATTAGAAAATTATAATCAGGAAAAATACTTTCAATATGTTACAGTGACTCCTATTTCATTTTAAAAGATGACCTCTATATATTCTCCTTTCAAGTTCAAAATTTAAAATAACTATGAAAGACGTGTATAACATCAGTAGACTTAAAATGTAACTTTTTAAATACTGTACTACATTCTACTAGATTAACATATTGGACTTTTCTACACCTAAATTTCCTTTAAAAACTAGAACTAAATAATGCCATGAAGAAAAAATGTAACACTGACCATCAAAGAAATACTGTGGCTTCCACGTAATAAGATTTCCATTTTAATTATTTAAAAACACATTCAGAGTGGGGCGGGGGTGGTTGTAGAAGGTAAAGAAGTTCAAACATATGGTGACAGAAGGAGACTAAACTTTGAGTGATGAGCAGCAATATATGGATGACATATTATAATATCACCCCAGTGATTACATTGAAAATTGAGAAAACAATTTAAAGTTAACATAACTTTCATATCTGAAAAAATAACACCTATCATACTTTAAGGACTCAGTATGTCTTACATGAATTGAAACATTGGTGCACTATTGGTGGGAATGCAGATGTGTGCAGCCATTATGGAATACAGGATGGAGTGTCCTTTAAAAATTAAAAATGGAACTCCCTTTTGACCCAGTGATTCCTCTTCTGAGAATATACTGCAAGGATCCCAAAACACCAATACAAAAAGTATACGCACCCCTATGTTTATAGCAGTGCTGCTTACAATAGCCAAGATCTGTAAACAGTCCTAGTGCCCATCAATGAGTGGATAAAAAAGCTGTGGTACATTTATTTACACAATGCAATACTACGAAGCAATAAAAAACAAGAAAATTCTTACATTTCACAACAGCATGAATGAACCTGGAGAAAATTGTGCTAAATGAATTAAGCGAGTCAGCGAAAAGAAAAATACCACACGATCCCACTTACGTGTGGAATCTGATGCACATAAACAGCGAACAAGAAAGTAACAGAAGGTCAGTACACAGAAGACACTGGCAGCTGCTGAAAAGTAGGGACAGGATGAAAGATGGTGAAGGGATTAACCAAAGACACGGACAACAATGATGCACAGTCCAAAGACACGGACAACAATTTGGGGACAGCCTTGAGGAGGGCTGGATGAGGGAGGGGAAGGGGAGAAATGTGGGAACAACTGTAACAGTGTAAACAACAATAATTTTAAAAAGAAACATTATAAAAAAATCTTAGAATAGTACAAATATAAAGGAGTTGATTTTACTTTCATAACTTAGTTTTGATCAGCCATTTCTAAAAGGAGGAAAAAACAAAGCAAGATTACCTTCATGGACTGTAATTCCACAATTGTCACACTGAATGATTTCATCAGCATCTTCACTGTTATCTCCGAGACAAACACAGCAAATCAGAATGTGGTCCATTTTTTGAGAACTCCAGTTTTGACTCTTCTCAAGAATCAGCGAGTCCTAATATTAAAATATATCAGAAGAATCACATATTTAAGTTAAAAGGTAATTCTAACAAATAAAATTCTCTTTAAATGATTTTGTGGATTTTCAAAATTATGCTGCATTCTCTGTCCTTTTAGTAATTTCAGAGCAGACTGCATTTGAGTTCACCTCTTTGTCAAGGACCCTATAAGAGCCCTCTAATTTATCACTTCTCTGCAAGTCCCACATACCCTCTCCTCTACAAAATGACAAAGCAAACACGCAACCAACAACTCCACATCTGCTTTGCCATTGTGAATTATGGTCTAAACTTTTAAACTGGGGGAAAGGAAAAATTTATCCATAATCATTAATCCTATGCGTTGGTTTAAAAGGTATAAAACATTAGGCTCCTACTCTTTGGAAACTTACGATCCCACCTAGAGAGGACAGGACACACATTTATTGAACAAGAATAAATCAATCCAAGATAACATATAGGCAACTATGTATGTGATGGCATAGTTACAGACTCTGTAATCCTCAAGTGTATAAGGGGAATTCAGAAGTCCCAGGGTCATCCACCTACTGGATGATAGATACATGAGCACCTATGTAGGTAGATGTGTATTCGGGTACAGAAAACCATCTAAAAAAGGATCCAGGGTGACTAGTTGCTAGAAGTCAGAGCACTCTACTGGGTTTATGTCAAGAAATATCTGGGTTTATTACTAGTGTAAATGGGTAATAAAGATACCAACCTATCTGTAATATAAAAGAAAGATGTAATAGATAAGTATAAAGATAAAATTTTAAGAAAGGAGTTTGCTTTTAATTTAAACCTTCTGCATTATGGATTTAAACTTTGAAGGATAATAATTAACAAAATGATGATTCTTGTCATATTTAACATATTGGTCTTCGTATTATGTATAAAAGATGGCACTTGAGTCTACATATTTTAAGAACCTAACCATATTCAGAAATAAAAGTAATAAATTAGTTTCATATTATACATTCACTAAATATATTATTTTGTATTATTTTTTATATTTTTATATTCTTCTAAACTGACCAAACTACAAGGTAATAATAGTAATTTATGACTTTGAATGACACCTGAATGTCACAATGACACTTGCAATACATTTCTGTTTAATACATCCAAGCATTCAGTTGATCTGTAAAATAAATCAGAAATAAATGCAAAAGTCAACAAGGAGGAGGTATGACATTTCTCGAGAACTTTAGCACTTTAAATTTTATACTTTGCTTTCTTTTGTTATAAAAGCAAAGTAGTTAATATATGGCAAGCAAATAAAGGTAAAAACTTCCTAAAAAGAAAACGTATGTTTTACAATACTTTGGTCCAGTGAGAAAAAAAAAAATCTGCCCAGATTTTCATCCCATTAGCCATGTTTTGATGTAACAGCATTTCACTTGAGTCAAAAGTACTTTGGTTTTATTCTCATCTCTCATTTAATCAGTATTGAAACTTGAAGGTGCAGTCTTCTCATCTGTAAAATGTGATGATAAAAATAATACCTATCTCTCGGGGTGGTTGTGAGAATTAACAACATAATGTATGTAAAAATGCTCCTGAGCACTGACTGGTATGGCTCAGTGGATTGAGCGCTGGCCCTTGCACTGAAAGGTCACCGGTTCAATTCCTAGTCAGGGCACATGCCTGGGTTGTGGGCCAGGTCCCCAGTTGTGGACACGTGAGAGGCAACCAACCAATTAATGTGTCTCTCGCATATTGATGTTTCTCCCTCTCCCTTCCCCTCTAAAAGTAATAAACAAGATCTTTTTAAAAAATGTTCCTGAGACACACTAGGTACTCAATAAAGATTCATTCCCTTTCCTCTGTACTTCTTGTAGGGGGGTCAGTAGAGAAACATGAGCTGATTCCCCCCATTTATTATTTCGGAAATCTTCCTTGGAACCCCAAAATAAAAGTTGTGAGCCTCAGCGAACATAGTTACTGTAACTTTTTCGCAGACTAGGAAAAGCCTTAATGACCAGAGCTGGATGTCTAAGAGGTGTGATACTCATGTTTATGGGCTTCGACCATATTTCTGTGGTGAAATTACAACAAATCAGCCCTTCAAAAAAAGGTTTATCCATGTGGGAAACAAGTAAATTTCTAAGGATCAGAAAAACTGACATCAACTGGTAGCTCTAATTCCATTACTTACCAACTTTTCTATTTTGCTTAAAAAAAAAAAACTAGTCTAAGCAGCTAAATTATATCTGCACCAACTTCTATACGTATTATCATTTAGAGGCAGAGAAAACAAATTTAACGGTCATCTCTGGCCCTCTGCTCCCCATCAATAGAAACTCTTACTAGAAATGTAATACTACCCAATATAATGGCTGACAGGCTATGCTTCAGTGGGAAAACCTAAATAACACATTCTCTTAAAAAATTATGCTCCAAGTGTCTTCAACAGATCAAACTTGGGCTTAATCATCCTTATAATGAGTATAAAAGCCAATTTAGTATCAATTTTTATTAGCATATTTCTAAAGCTGTATATTATATTCTAAGTTTCTGGAGAAAATGGTTAAGATAGCATTTTCACTACAATATATTAGTTGAAAATAGTACTTTTACTTAAAAATAGAAATTGGGAAAGTTGGTTTCGAATAGTTCAAACCAACCAGTCAAGTTTACTGACTAGAATATAACTTTAACATTATGGAATGACTTAAAGGAATCTATTGGTGATGGTAAGAATAAATTATAGTAAATAATCTCACTTTTCCCTGGGGACTTAACATATATGCCAAAAATTATATTATTGGCCAACAGTCTCAAGTCTCAAGGCTCTAAAACATGTTTAGTGCTCATTTATGTGTGTATGCCACATGATGATTATAAATAATGTATACAACAGGATAAATTCTGTTTGTTTTTAATAGAAGGAAATTCCAGCATACTTCATGTAAAACCAGAATTAAAGAAATCTTTTGACCTGCAGAAGAGAAAAAAATTAGTATAGCAAGAAGTTTGACCCATAGTTCTTCCTCTGTGTTTTTAGAGGTTAAATTCTTAATAATCTCAAGTAATTTTTGTAGTTATAAATTGATTTTTTTTTAGACTTGGAGAAATTTATTTTATTTTGAAAAATGTAAAAAGGCAATTGATTAGTAGGAAGCCCTAAACACAGTGGCTATTTATAAGATTCAGCCAAATTTGTACATTTTAACTAGCAAATCAGATGACAACTACCATTTCTTCATAAGGCAAGACAGTGAAACGCATTTAATATAACTGAGTCTTTTATTTAAAAAAAGAAAAACTTCCATCTGAAAATTCCTATTGTAATGATTTTTTTCATCATTAACTCAAAACTAGTTTTAAAGTCCTGAAAAATGAGAACCGGTCTCTGAAACTACTACACAGCCCTTCCCAAAAAATCTGCTACAGGAAACTAAAATGTAAGATAACCTTAGTGAAGCTCAAAGTTTCAAGATAAAAGTTTGAGAAGACACATAACCATATTCTTAGGCGATTGTTCATAATGCTCCAAATTCAAAAATGCCATAATACCATTGACAAAGGCAAGTGCCCATATGCAAAAAATGCCCAATTCTAGAACAGTAGTTCTCAAGATGTGGTCTGAGAATTCTCCTCTAGGGAAGTCTACAATGTAAAGGCTATTTTCATGATACTAAGGTTATTTGCCTTTTTCACTCTTGTCATGGGTATAAGGTAAAGCTTTTCACAAGCTACAAAACATGGGATGGCATTATTGATCTGACAACTTACGTGGCTCCGTATATCTCATTGTTTGAAGTTTCAGTTTTAATTGGAAATGGTAAATATTGATATGTAGCCTACATAAATGACTGGGATCTCTCAATAATTTCTTTAAACCTCACTTGAAGATGTGTTTACTGATTTTGAGAGAGATTAAGAGAGAGAAAGAAAAACTGGATTGGCTGCCTCCCATACATGTCCCAAATGGGGGTTAAACCTGCAACCTAGGTATGCGCCCTGAACAGGAATGGAACCTGCAACCGTTTTGGTGCATGAGATGATGCTCTAACCAACTGAGCCACCTTGCCAGGGCTGGATCCTTAATAATTTTTTTAAAAGTGTAAAGATGTCCTGAAACCCAAATGTTTGAGGACCCTTGCTTTAGAGTATTTTTAAGGTCTATAGCATAGATAGGTATGTTAAGGACATTAAGAGCTGATAGTTATAAAAGGCCCCTGCTCAAAACAAAAAATCAAATTCTCCTAAGAAACTTCAAAATTATGAAAGTTCCTGGGCATCATTTACATGACATCTAATATCCTTTCCCTATAAACTACCTGACATAGCAGCCAAGAAAAAAAAATGTACCTGCTTATAAACTAAATATAATTCTATTATGTACTGCTAAAGCCACATTTTACCTATCTCTACTACAAAATAGTATTTGAAAACTTAAAGGAAAAGCAGAGAACTATAATACTTCAAATATAATCAAATATATACAGATTGACTAATGGACCCCTGGCAAGGTATACCTACCTAAAATAGCCAGGAAAATACAACCATTAGCCCTAGGGCGACAAGAATTACTTTTAGTCCTCTTTTTACAAAGCTAAGATCATATGAATAGGAAATGTAAAAATATAAGATAATAATCTCAATTGATTCATTTCTTAATTTAATATCTAATTTGTCATGTTGATTAGTTTTTTAATTAAAATCTAATATCTAATTTGAGTAACATTTAAATAGAACTACAATAAGAAATATTGAAGAATTTCAATAATAGAGTTGGATGGAAAACAGTTATCGGACTTTCAGGTATAATATTATTCAGGGAAAACTTCCTATAAATTCTTCAACATTTCTGCATAGGGAAGAGCAAAAGAAAAATTAAGATAAAAGAATTCCTTCAGAAAAGGAATTAATGTAGCTAATTAAGAAAAAGGCACTTTTCCAAGAAATGCTCTGGAATCTCATTTCTTTGGGACTGTTAACCTAAATATATCAAACCCCATTATTTACTAAAGTCTATTCTGATAGGAAAAACTAAACAGCACATGTGGCCTTTAAATGCATCATAAAAATAGTCTACAACCTCTTAAGCAATACATTATATATTACAGATTATGAACAAATGGGTAATGTACAGATTTTATGTGGAAAATTTCTAAACGTATGCAGGTGTTCCCATACCTTATCATAAATCTATTCCACACTGGCTCTATCATTAGCCAGCCTACCCTGTGAATGTCAGACTAATAAAAATGAAGTAAGGAGGTGATGCTGCCAAAGGTAAAATTATTCGGTAAATACAGATATAATACCAAGTGCTATAAAATGAACTGGATACATGCCTAAAAATCAAATATGAACAATTGGACTTTCCATAGTTCTAGTTCCATAAATTGGCATTGAAGATATGGAATTGCCTGTGCTATATCATTATAAATACTACATTATGTTCCAAATGACATTTTCCTTAACCTACAGATAAGAATTAAGAGAGCAACAGAGGCAAGCAACACTCTTCATATGAAAGTGGGCCAACTAGAAATTTAAAAAGTTTATAATCTAAAATATAAACTGTTGTTTCACCTCTACTAACATACAACCCCTCATAGACTGCTGTAAATTATTTTAAAAAATCACCAAATTTTTAAATAAAACTTAGTTAAGATGGATAATTGCCACTATATAAAATTTGTAAGCATAAGAAATGTAAACAATAAAATAAAGCATAAAAGAAAAAATTTTCTACCACTTTAACCTATTGCAATGGTATGAAGAAAAAAACAAAAAATAAGTGCTTGATAAAGTGAAAAAGTGAATTTTCATGACTGTAAACATGCTAACAAAATGACAATTATTCATGACTATAAACATGCTAACAAAATGACACTTAACTATTCTACTTCTACATGTGATGCAACAGATATATCTACATGTGAGAAGACAACTCAGTCTTTCTTTTGAAGAGGAACAAATACATAAACACACAGACAGAGACATAGATGTGTTTGGCTGAAGAGTCTTGAATGTTGCATCTCGGACCCAATGGATAAACCTAACTTTCAATAGTAGAACTTCAAGTGGAAGAATTGAGTCATTACTGTAGTTTTATGACAGAAATGTTTGTTTTATGACAGAAATGTTTGTTTTCATTTCTTTGTGGAGAGAACTTATTTACTAAATACATGTAAACATATAGTTGCACTTACTCCAATGCATCTAAAGCAAAGATTTGGTGACTATTCAGATGATGGTGCTACAACTGGTGAATTAATTAACCTTGAAAATGAATCTCTAAAAGTCTGAGACCATCGTTAAGCTCTTTGTTGCCCTGCTCTAAAGTATTCTAAAAGTCTCACCTTTTATGTGGATATGACTACAACTAAGTTGAAAGAGAAGTAACCTTTCTCATAATCCAGTTAGCACCATTCGGCAGTCCTATGAACAATGGGGTGAGAGAATAGAATAGGGAAAGAAAACCCCTACCATTTCCCAAGTCTATGAATATAAAAATATTCCTCTAAATATATAGACTGTGAGCTCCTTGAGAACGATGATTGTGAATTCCTTGAGAACGGTGACAAACAGTAGGTACTCAATAAAGGCTGGTTGGTCAAATGAATAAGTGCTACAGTTAGGGTGCTCATTCACTCCCACAACGTCTATAAATAGGATTTCAAGGAAGCCACTCAATATAATTAGTAGAATGGTTTAGAGAATTCCCTTTTCCCCAGACAGACAGATATCATAAAAATTGGGTTGATCTACCTCATTACTCTTGCTTTGAGATAATGTCAGGCTATCATTGGTCAGTTCCTCATCATCAGCACTGTTTCTGCTAAGAACTTTACTCTTCTTTTTCTTGCAGCCCCCTTCACTGGCAGGACTGCTATGATCATCATCATTGCCTTCATCATTCTCATCCTCATCACTCCCACTTCCCTCATCTTCATCATCCTCATTGTCTCCATCACTTCCTTCTTTCTGAGATGCAGATCTCCCCTTTCTCTTTACTGCGGTAGGTCGCCAGTCATTGTCATCTTCACTATCATAGTCATCCATGTCATTCAGTTCTTCCATGGATACAAAATCCAAAAGGGGTCGATTTCGACGAAGGTTCCACTTTTTTGGCTCACTGACTTGTTCCTCTGTAGCTGCTGTTGTACTGGGGACTGAAGGAGATGTGTTAACAGCAGGAGGACTTGTGGCTGGTGAGGGGGCAGCAGCAGAAGCAGCCACATTATCAGATACTGTTGCTTTTTCTTTCTCCTTCTCTCTCTCCTTCTCTTTCTCTTTCTCTTTTTCTTTCTCCTTCTCTTTTTCCTTTTTCTTTCTAGGTCTTTCTCCATTTTCTTCTTCTTCCTTCTTTTCCATTTTAACTAACTGTTTTTCTGATGACAGTATTTCTTCCTCTGCAGAATTTTTAAGTTGTTCTTCTTTTACTTTAATGTCTTCATTCAGTTCTTCCTCTAAAACATTTTCTTCAGAATCACTACAGGAACCTTCTCCACTGTCCTTTGAGGGGTCTTCACTTCCATTACCACTCCCTTCAGAATCTGTTGAAAATATGAGAAAAAAAACCACACATATGTATATACATACACACACACACACACAACGCTGACACAAATGAAACCACCAAAATCTGTGAGTAACTTGCAAAACAATATAAACAAATTTAAGTCAAAGGATGGTAGACATTACTAACCTGATTAAATAATAAATCAATGAAGTTGGTGTAATGGTTTTAGTTCAATAGAGTACTAATGAAGATGAATATATGTAGCTCTAAATTAAAATATGCTTTAAAAAGAAGAGCACTGTTTTAGCATAACATATGATATAACTGGTACCCTAGAGGCTTCTTTTAAGTAAAAATTATTCTTTTTAAGTTGGGCACCTGATTTAGATTTTAATTCAATTATAATAGAATACACACCAAATTTTTCTTCACTTGTATCTTCCTTTCACAAACTTTATGGAGTTAAAAGCGATGAATCACAATCAGAACAAGAAAATCCTGACCCAAAAAACTTTATCATTTCATGCTTTACCCACAAAAATTAAACATAAATATTTACATTGGTCACCTTGTATCATATCCCTAATATAGCAATCATTTTAGAAGCACCAAAGACACAGAAGAGAAGAGACAATAGCAATGGCCCAGAAAATGGAAGTTGTAAAAGAAGTTGTAAGTTATCAATTTTCCTGCTTGTTAGGATACTTATTAGGATATCAATAAAAGGGTCACCTAAACATTCCAAAATTCTAGGCAATAACTGCTATATCCCCTAGATTGAAAGAAATTAATGATTTTTTTTAAAAAACTAAGCCATCTGGGAAATGAGCATCCATAATAGTCACTAAAAAGATAGGCTAAGGACATTACAGAGTTCACATAGGACTATAAACCTTCTAGCAAGTTTCTTCCTTTCTTGCCTAGCACAGCCCAGGCTCTCTCAGCCCAGTGCTACTCAGTAACCTACTCATCTTTATGCCTAATAAAATAAATAAAAACCTAAAACTCTAGGGAGAGGGACAATGAGGAGGAGAAAAAAGGAGGAAGTGGGAAACAAACCAGTCATAGTCAGGTCATGGTCAACACCAATAGTAAAATCTGTAGGGTGATGAATATTTTGTACCAATAACCAAGAAAAGAGTTATAATAAATGATTTTAAAAAGTCTATGATTCCACACTATTTTACTTTCTGTTAACCAGCCTTGGCCGGTATTATTAATTGGGCATTAAATATAAAAGAAAGTTGTCTACAATTAGTACCTGGTATTTAAATAGCTGAAATCCTTTACAAATGGCTGATTTAAAAATATCCTGCTAGTTACAGCACATTTTTTTAAAAAGACTAACATTTGGCAGATGTCAACTGAGCTTTTTTTTAAGTCAACTTTCCTTTATTTGCATATCTTTTTTTTATTTAGTTATTTTTCAAGTACAGTTTTTTTTGTCTATTTCTCTCATCCCAGCCCCCCCCATCCCATGCTCCCCACTCAACTGATCTTATAAAATTATTGTCAATCTCTACATTATCATGCCGGTATCCATAGCTTATTCAGAACTGTTGTGAAAAAACACTCCCATCCTAGACAATCTTGCATAAATTTCTGCAGTAAAATGTACAAATATTTATAAGTATGATCCATTAACACTACAAATAAACTCCTATCAGTACCAGTTAGGTTTTATCACCAAATAACCTTGTGCCAAACTTAGAAAACATATCTGGATTTGTCAGCTCCTTGGATTTCAGAAAGTGTGTGGGCCCAGTATCCCTCACAAAAAGGTGACTTCTTTCAATCCAATAGCCCTACAAATCATTAAGAACATTTTGATTTTTTTAACACCACTCACAACAATTAAACCTAACCTACCAAGAAAAACTACCTCTGGTTAAAAAAATAATAATAATTTCTAGATATTTTTAGATAAGGATCTACTAAACAATAAGTACAGCTGACTAAACTCTTCTAAGGCAAAAAAGAATTTTTGTGAGCTGTGACTAAAGAGAAGAGAAACACCTTGCAAACAATGTCATAATTAAGAGAGCTGGGAAATGGAGTAAGGATCCTTTTCTTCTGGACTCATCTTCCAGAAGCCTTTTTAGAATTACCTAAGAAGTACTCCTAATTATTTTACCAATAAAAACAGAATGATACAAAAGATTAACTGTAGCACAAATGTGAGTACTGGATCAAAACCGAGAGGAATCAATCCAACTGCGCTATTAGTACATTTTACAAACATCAAGAATTTTTAAATTTTGTTTTGGTAGTTATTGCCAATACAAATCAATTGATGAGTTTTCAAAGTAGAGGGAAACTTAATTGTTTTTATTTTATAATCATGCCTGAATAGAATGCAAACCTTAAAAATTTTAAGTGCTTTACATTTGTTAACATATCATTAGAAAACTGTGAGATTCTTCCACAAATCTTAATCCTCATAGCTTACCCAACCCTTCCTTCTCCGAATATAACATACTAGACATACTCCACTCACAGGCATCAGGAATATGTCAAATTTTATTTTCCTTTGATCTCTGAAAAATAACTTCATCTAATCAGTCATCACTTCTTTTTGGTACATATGCACTTGAGGGATGGAGATAAAAATATTTAGTTACAAGCACAGCTCGGTAATAATGGCAGTGAGAAAATAAGAGTCCTTGGCTATATATACTTTTGTAGGCTGCAAAGGAAACTTTCCTATCACTAAGAATGCAAACACAGACTCTCTGCCATATTCCAAATCTATCACTCTTACACCCTTAAAAGAAAAAAAAAGAACAGACTAGAGAAATAATTTAAATACTTCAAATATAGCTAATCTTAGGTATGAAGACCAGTGAATTCTAAGTCTGTAAGAAAAATTTTTATACTAAAAAAATTTTTTAAATTGAATTCCTTACTTTCTATTCAATTAAACAAAAGGTAACCATTCTCTCACACACACTATAACAAAATCTCTCCAATCAATAGCTATTTCAACTTATAGAAAGTCAGAGTTTTTGTTATAGTTACAGAATTAAAAAACCAGCCTTCAAGAATCCCTTTACAGTATTTAATGCTTAAGTTCTCTCCATGGTAAATACCAAACAATAAAACCAAAAACAAAACAAAATCAAAAAAAATATAACAGTATTATTTAAACCAGAGTTTTATGTTAGCTTTGCAATATAAAGAATCATCTTGGCTCATCAAATCTGATTATTCAATTTTTCTGGTCATTGATGTAGCCCAACAGTGATGAGTAATATAACTATACACAATAGACAACAGACAGATCACCGTGCTATTGGTTATTCAGTTACCATCCTGTGGCCATTTTAACAAACCCTGTATAGCAGAGGTGTCAAACTCATTTTCACCAGGGGCCATATCAGCCTTGCAGTTGCCCTCAAAGGGCCAAATGTAATTTTAGGACTGTATACTTGTAACTACTCCTTAACAGTTAAGGGAGAGCTCGGTGTTGCCTCAGGGTAGAAACAAGGTGTTGGGCCGTATGAAACAGGGTGGAGGGCCGGATTCAGCCCTCGGGCCTTCTGCCACCTGTGCTGTATAGCTTAGCTCTATTTTAAAAGCCAATCGGTCAACACAACTCACCCTCAGGTTCCAACTTTGACAATTTTGTGCCACAGTGGACACTCGGCAGTGTCTGGAGACAATGGTTGCCAGGAAAGGACAAGGGTTGGGAGTGCCAGGTAGGAAAGATGCTCCTGGCATTTAGTAAGGAAAAAACAGGGATACTGAAGAACATCCTACAATACACAGGTCAAGTCTCCACAACAAAGAATTATCCAACATAAAATGTCAGTAGTGCTGAGATTAAGAAACCACAGTCTAGCAAATCAGGCCTCAATGTGACCTCATTCTACTTCCCCAGGCTCATCTCTTCTATTCTTCTGTTTAGTCATGATCTAAGATTAATAAAAAAACGTTTCCAGCTTCTACACTTTTTAACAACGTTTCCCCACCAAGATTTCACTTTCTACTTTAACTCTTATGTCCTCAATAAAATCTCCTAAAATCAATCCAATGTAAAGTAGTCCCAAATCCTCTGAAACACCTTGAACTCTGTTAAGTGATCAATCATGGTGTATATCATCTACCCATTCTTTCATCTAATTATTCTATTATCACTATTTCTTTGTGAATTCACCGTAACATCCAGAAGTGCCTTTAAGCAAAACTACAGACCTCAATCCACTTAAAGTCAGATTAAGCACAAAATAATACCAAAGCAAAGTCTCAGCCTGAATCTTCCAGTTAAATTATTTTTTCTGACAACTTCACATAGTTAGGTTAATTACCTAACTATGACTAAAGACATAAAGTTAACCATCTTACTTTGGCCAGAGGGTTGGGGGACACAGCACTGCTATTTTGTCTCGTTTAGTAAAAGTAAGATATGTACTTTTCTTCAAAAAGATTTCATTTATACAGCAGATTACTAAATGTAATCTATCTTAGCCCTAATCCTAGGTCCAAGTCTCAAATATAAACCACTTTAACTAGGCCAAACCATGAAACTGCCAATATTTGACAGTTTTACATCTTTAAAAAATGGTAATTTCGTATGGTTTCATCTAACATTCCCACACATGGTTTTTCTGATGGTTATCACCATAAACCTAATATACTAGTATCCCATTTTAGCACTTATTAATTTTTAAGTTAATTGACTCTTCTTAGTCAAAAGTAAGAAATTTAGATCTACCTTCACATTTGAAATAAAAGATAATCTATTTTCAGTTCATAATTTTGCAATTGTAGAGGCTTATAATTTTTATTTAATTTATTGTATTTTTTTATTTTTATTTATTGTTTTTAGAAAGAGAGGAGAGACAGACAGAGACAGAGAGAGAGAAACATTGATTTGCTGTCCCACTTATTCATGCATTTATTTGTTGATTCTTGTATGTGCCATGACCAGGGATCAAACCTGCACCCTTGGCATATGGAGACGCTGCTCCAACCAACTGAACTACCTGGCCAGGGCAAAGCTTATAATTATTAACTTGCCAATTTTTTGGCAGATAATTTTTGAGCAATATTCATCCTTTTCAATTTTACCATCTGAGCAATACATGAATAAAATTATGTTTACTTACAAGGGTCTTAAATATAACTTTAGTCTATAGAATTGTCTATACTTATTCTTAAAGCCCAACAGAAATGTGAAGTTTTGTTTCAGAATTTCAGATTTCAAAATAAAGATCAGAAGAAACTGATGCACAGAATTCAGATAAAAATTGAAGCCAATCAAGCTAAGCACTTTAACGTTAAGTTCTAAGGAAGTCAGTAGTTCATTCAGTAATTTGTAAAAATTGATTTGAAAGAAGCTATGATCAACACATGGTTACGTAATATATTTCCACTTTCAATTTAATCTCCTATTCATAAGTAGGCTTGGGATTCCACAATGTTAACATGTTTGAAAATCAGTGATGAGTCCAATGTCTTATTTCATGTAAGAGTCCATTATCTCAGGCACAGAAAAGATTCAAACAGGAATACACTGGTTACCTACAATAAGCTGACATCTCAGCTATGTGAAACACAATGCACCTTAACCAAGAGCAGAAAATAACATTTAATTTCTACTGACTATGAACTATTTTAAAGAAAATCATTTTATACTGAACTTTCATTTATAATAACATCAAGAACTACACAGATAAATTTTGACCTGGGGTCATAAACTTAATAACCCCAGAGGCCAGGAAAGTAAATTACAAGTATAGCCAACTAGGTATTATGACAAGAGGGAACAGAAAGTATATAGATTTTCAGTACCTTCATATTTTTCTAAATAAAATTATCTGCTAACAAAACTCATCCTACCACTTACCACAAATAATAGATAATTCCCATCAATTCTGATTGAGATTTAACAATCAGGAATCTCTAGTTAGCTTGACACCATAAATTATTTTGAGAACGTAGTTTGTACCATTAAATTGTTTCAACTCTTGTAAAAGTGATACCTGTGAATGACTCCATCTCAACAAGCAAAAACAAAAAAAAAATCTACAAAATCAGAATTTATTGCCACAAAAATAATTATGCAATACCTAAAGAAATTAAGCTTTGGAGTTTTTCTTAGAAAGGTATTCAAGTAAGTCATAATTTCTGAGACTCGGCTATTTTTGTCACACTTTACAATTTGGATCATAATCGATCAAAACAACATAAAGAACATTCTTCTCTGCCAAGGTTTCACCAAGAGAACTAAAGTATGTTTGGATTTTACACCTTGCCCTTCCCATTCTTTCTCTTCTTTGGAAGTACCAAGCTTCAGTGAATCAACTAAATGAAAGATAAAAAGAGCAGCAAAGGTTAAAAAAAGCAATCAAGATAAACATTTTGATTACTGGGAGTGACCTCAATTAGTCATCACAACATTCAAGTAGTTTCAGTTTGAAATTACACCCTATCTCTTTTTTAGGGTCTAAGTAGAGAAAAGATTGTAAATTTTGGAAATCAAAAGATACGGATTAGATCTATTATGGCCTGTGTGACCTCATGCAAGTTCTTTAAACTCAGTTCCTCTGTCATATGTAAAGTAACATCTCCTTCACTAAGTTACATTAAAAATTAAATGAGATTATAGAAACAAAAGTTCTCCGTAAATCACAGGCGAATTCGGATGGCTGGTGCTCTTAAATGTAATAATAAAAACACAACCTAACTTCATCCCTTCCTATCATCCCTAGTGGGGAAAGGAAGGCAGGCCAGCAAGGAGAGAGATGTGACTAAACATAGAAAATTCTATGGAAGAATATTTTTAAACTGTTAAAGGGATAAAATTGGAAAGGCTTTCATTTCTCATTTTATTTAAATTTCCACTCAAAAGGAGCAGAATTATAAGTAATTTTTATTGTTTATGTGCACCTTGGTATTTTTCATATAAAACATTTTAACATAATTTGTGTCCATTTCTCAGATTCCTGCAATTAAATCTTTAGATATATCTCTCTATATATGAGTTACAGTGAACAGAAGATACGAAGCACACCATACTTTTACATATTTTCCAATTTTGTACAATGTGAATATATGACCTTTTAAAAAAGTCCATTGTTTTTAAAAATCACAAAATACAGAGCAAGTATGTATGCTTTACATCTCAGATTTTTGAAAGGCCCAATCCACAAGGTCCAGCAGCTACTAGGAAGCACAACTTTTTTCCTCAGGTCAGTTTTATTCTGGTAAGGGAGCTAATACACAAAAAATAAAGCTCTCCTCGAGAGTGCCAAGCGATCTGAAAAGAGAAGAACCCTGCTCACGAGCAGTTCAAGACTCACATTACTCTCAGGATGTTACTCTACCCAGTGATATCTCTCAATTTCCCCTCCACCCAGGAAATAAGCATACATGTATTTTCAAGTAATAAATAGAGAAAATGTTTTTGCATCTTTGGAAAAAGTCCTCTGCCAGCTCATTACCTAAGTATCAACAGAAACAGAGGTAACGACGGAATCTAGTGATAGAATCTCAGGGAAAAGTGGGAAATCAAATGGACAAAATAAGTAATATTTATGTGCTTTAAACTTTAAGTTGCCATTTTAATCAAAACCAATTCTTTATAAAATATCTAAAAATAAACCCAACTCCAGAAATCTGAGAAAGGGAAGAGAGAAACATTTACCTGAGGCATCTCCAACTTTAAAATCACTGTCATCTGAACTATCATAATCGAGAGCTTCTAGCAGAGAAGCTGCCAAAGGCTTCACCTGCCTCCTCTTGGAGCTGCGATCCACTGTTAAAGGGGGAAAAAAATACAGCGTCATTCAAAATCATACCAAGCACAGGGGAGGGTTGTGGTGCTGAAGGAAGGTACAAAAGACCTCGTGCAGAGAATCTTTATCTAATTCACTTCTCGGCCAAAGGTGTTGGGGGAGGTTGGGGAGGGAACGCGGGCTCGTGAGTACCGGGCCGCAAGGTGGGCAGCTCCAGCCACTAGGTGAAGCGAAGGCGAAATCGCAGCTGACCCTCTTGCACACCTTGTGATGTTTCGGTGACTTGCTCGTAATCCCTCATTTGGACACCGTGACAATCAACAGAAAGCAAACGCAAAGCCCAAGGAATAAAAGAAGCCGCGAACATGCCCGCGGACTGTGAAGGGGAAGAGTCCACGGAGCGCCCCAACCCCCGCCCTGGTGTCCCACCGGCCCTGACTTCTAGAAGAGCCGAAACGGTTCTTTCTCCCCGCGGAGGCCTCCGACACTTACTAAGGAATCCGTGAGGTGGTCGTTTGGAGGAAAACTAGAGAGGCTGCGTGAGCTCAGGCAGCGCCGAGGTCGGGGACTGAGACCGCGGAAACAGATCGGAAAGATGCTACTTAAAATCTGCGGTGCCGCCGAGCGGATCGGGTCATCCCAGGTGCACCCTTGCAGTCCCCGCCCGCACCCCACCCCCCGGCCCGCCCCCCAGTCTTCTCGAAGCCAGCCCGGCCTCTCGCGCCCCCTTCCCACGGCGCTCCCAGGGCACCGGCGCCCTCCGCTGCAGGCAGCGTGGCCAACCCGGCAGGCCCGGAGAGTTACTATCCCCCGTTAAAACTGTTAGGGAAAAAAGAAAAGAAAAGAAAGAAAAACTTTATTAGCCTGCACCAAAAGCAACAGGAAAAAAAAAAAGAATTTGCACAGTCGGAGGCTGATTGCTGAGGCCGATTGCTGAGACAATAGGGAAAGCAACGACCCGGATACAGCTCGGGAGGGAAGGAAGTGAAAACACGAGGCAGAGCTGGGCCCTACGTGCAGCAGCCGCCGAGAGCGCCTGCGCCCAGGCTAGCAGCCTCTCTCCGTTCCAGAGAGCAACCGGACAAAGCCGAAAGGGAGCCGACGGCGAGCCGAGACTCGGCGGAGACCGAGCCGAGCCCAGTCGACTAGTACCGGAAGGAGCAGAGAACCGTCCCAGGCACTGCGTGGCTCCGCCCACAAATCCCTGACGCTCCACCTTCAGTCCAAATCTCGGGGGAGGGGCGGAGGCAGGTTAGGTTTCTGGTTTTAAGTATTCACTCAGAATGCATTTTCCATAAAAGAACTTTTGCTAACTTAAGTCACAAGTCATACCACCTCTTCTGCTGCTCTTTCTATAAATTGCATCCTTTAAAATATCTAGGTGCCTGGGGATTTTTTTAATTCTGAAAGTGGGTGATGTGAGAATAGCATTAGACCTTGTTTGATGGCTGCTTAGATAAATACAACTCTAACAGGGAAAAATCATTCATTTAATTATATTAACTATTGTTTCAATGATTGTAATGTGGACAGACATTTTCACATAAATAAAATATACATAGTATTTTTATATACTATGAGACAGATAATACACCTAGGGGAAAATATTCCATTTTACAAATATATTGTGCATTAACTGAAGATGGGTGTCCACAGGAATGTGAAATAGTGCCTTGCATCCACTTAGATAACTTAATTTATTGAAATGAGTTTTTAAGATCATAACAGGACAGTATGTACAACCAGACATGGCAGTCTTCTGTCAACAGATGGCCGGATGGTCATTGTAGATAATTCAATGCCAGTAGGAATTTCCAGTTTGGGGTGCAGTGAAGAATGAAACTTTATTCAGTGCATACAGCTCAATCGTGATATAGTGTGGCAGTGGAACAACGCAACAGTATACAGCTCAGTTATGAAGCAGCATAGCATGGCTGGGAGGCAACACCTGGGGCCAGACCCCTCTCTGCTCCTGCTGTGCTCCCCTCTACTCCAGTGAGACATCTTTGGTGTTTCAGCTTGAGCCAGGGAAACAGTCTTTACTCTTTCCTGGAAAGGGAAAGTGCACTTTTGGAGCCAGAGGGGAGCTAACTTCTAGAGACAGAAGTCTTGCCTCTGCGGCTTTTGCAAGTGAGGACTCCAAATTTCCCCAGTTTAATCCGTCCAAAAATCACTATCCTGATTTGTCAAAATAGAGCTTCTCTGATTGCTCAGTGAAGATTCTGATGGTGATATTGCTGTGCAGCTCTGATAGGATGAGGAAAACTTCAGTCTTCGTCACTGAAATACTATTCCAGGAACTCCTTTATAAGGGCTGGTTCATATGGCAGGAACACAGTACAGAGAGGCAATTCAGTGCAGGCTTCTCCCTGAAGTGTGGTTTGCATGAGACCCCTATGTAGAAATGGATGCTTGACTCTGCCTTCAAATTTGAGTACAGTTATCCACCGGGAGCCCTTTTCTGTGGGTATCTTTGTTCTTAAGGGTTCACACCTTCAATAGTCACAAACATCATGCTAATTCACATACAAGTTAGCTACTTTTAAAAGAAACATTAAGATGTTAGAATATAAGCAGCATTAATATTTTTAAATGTTTATATATTAAGGATAGAGAAAGATTTGCATGAAGCTGATTCAATTTGTTTATTCCACAAGTATACATTTATAATAGGCAATGTTCATAACATGAGAAAATGCACTGCTATGAGAGACTTTAAATTAAATGTGTAGGAATCAAATCGTATAATGAGTTGGCATTGGTGGTATACTGGTGAGCATAGCTGCCTTCCAAATCGTATAATGAAGTAATGGAGCTTACTCTTTGGAAGAGAGTGAATGGAAGAAATATGTTTAGTGCTTTTATAAACTAGAATTAAATTACATAACATTAAATTTGAAAAATATTGGGTTGGACAAAAAGTTCATGTGTTTTTTTTTCTGTAAAATAGAAGACACAGTTTTCATTTCCACCAATAACTTTTTGATTTGGATATTTTCAGTATGTTGGCTATCTCCCACACGTTTAAATTGTTCTCAATTAATATCTCCACTTGATCACTATTAACTTCAATCATGAAGCATCATCCCAACCATGGAACATCATCCAGACTAAAATCTCCAGCATGAAACTTACCAAAACCACTTTTGACACATTCATTCAGTCACAGCACCTCCTCTATACACTGCACAAATCCTTTTTTTTGCATTTCGGTTGCATTTTTACCTTCCTTGAAATAATAAAATATAACATGCCCAAAATGTTGCTTATTTTCTTCTATCTTCAATATTAAAATGGCTATACAAAAATTCACCAATTTTGTTAAGCTTTTTTAATGCATGCTGACATGACAGTTGTCATAATACAATGTAATAAAGTTGTTTCGAATGAAGTGAAAGACAACTAAGCCTTACTAGAGCCATCTTACAGAAAAAACCAAACGAACTTTTTTTTTTGGCCAACCTAATAGTATATGTGTGTGCTGTACAGTTTGTGGGATGATTACCTAGAGGTTGGACTTTCTGCAAGACAGTTGTCTTTTCCTTTTCCAGAGTTTGGAGTGTATTTAGGGATACAAACAAGTCAATAAACAATTGCTGTGTATTGTAGAAAGGGCAACCAGAGACAAAATACACGTGCATAGAAGAGATAAGGCACTCAGGCAGAGCTTCCTGGAGAAACTTGTATTTAGATCCAGACGTAAAGTGTCTGGACTGGCCTGGAGAAGGGAGAGAAGGAGACAGGTGTTCCGGACCCAGGAAAGGACTCATGCAAACGCCCAGGGATAAGGGAGAGGGACTAGTCAGATTCCTCAAAAGCTGGACGACCTCTAATGCAGCCAGGGTATCCCTTCATAACAGTACTCGTACCAGTTATATTGCAGCCTCATCTTTCTGTTTTCCTCGTCACTGCTAAAAATGTAAACCCTTCCAATATCTCTGAACCTCTAGTCATCTGACCCAAACTACCACCACTACGTGCCCCTACACATCTTTCCAGTGTGCAGTAGAAACTTCCATTCCAAAATTTTTTCATGGATTCACAGGAGAATTCTACAAAGCATTTAAGGAAGAGCTAACCCCCATTCTTCACAGACTATTCCAAAAAATCCAAAAGGATGGAAAACTCCCTAACTCCTTTTACGAAGCCAGCATCATCCTAATTCCAAAACCAGATAGAGATACAACAAAGAAAGAAAACTTCAGGCCAATATCGCTGATGAACATAGATGCTAAAATCCTCAACAAAATATTAGCAAATCGCATCCAACAATATATCCAAAAGATTATACACCATGACCAAGTGGGATTCATCCCAGGGATGCAAGGATGGTTCAACATTCGCAAAACAGTAAATGTAATTCATCACATAAACAAAAGCAAAGACAAAAACCACATGATCATATCGATAGACGCAGAAAAAGCTTTCGATAAAGTACAACACCCATTTATGATAAAAACACTCAGCAAAATGGGAATAGAGGGGAACATTCCTCAATATAATAAAGGCCATTTATGAGAAACCTACAGCCAATATCATACTCAATGGACAAAAACTAAAAGCTTTTCCACTAAGATCAGGAACAAGACAAGGATGTCCACTTTCACCACTCCTATTCAATATAGTATTAGAAGTTTTGGCCATAGCGATCAGACAGGAAAAGGAAATAAAAGGCATCCAAATAGGAAAGGAGGAAACAAAATTGTCACTGTTTGCAGATGACATGATAGTGTACATGGAAAATCCTATAGACTCTACCCAAAAACTGCTCAAACTAATTAATGAATTTGGCAAAACAGCAGGATACAAAGTCAATATCCAGAAATCAAAGGCATTTTTGTATACAAACAATGAATCAGCAGAAGCAGAAATCAAGGAAAAAATCCCATTCGATATAGCAAAAAGAAAAATAAAATATCTGGGAATAAACCTAACCAAGGAGGTAAAAGACCTGTATGCAGAAAACTACACAGCACTGAAGAAAGAAATCAAGGAAGACACAAACAAATGGAAACATGTACCGTGTTCATGGATTGGAAGAATTAACATCATCAAAATGTCCATACTACCCAAAGCAATATACAGATTCAATGCAATACCTATTAAAGTACCAATGGCGTATTTCACAGACATAGAACAAACACTTCAAAAATTTATATGGAATCATAAACGAGCCCGAATAGCAGCTGCTCTTTTGAGAAAGAAGAACAAAGTAGGAGGAATCACAATACCTGATATCAAACTGTATTACAAAGCCACTGTAATCAAAACAGCCTGGTACTGGCATAAAAACAGGCACATAGACCAATGGAACAGAACAGAGAGCCCAGAAATCAACCCAACCCTCTACAGTCAATTAATATTCGACAAAGGGGGGCAGTAACATAAAATGGAGCAAAGATAGCCTCTTCAGCAAATGGTGTTGGGAGAACTGGACAGCTACGTGCAAAAAAATGAAACTTGAGCACCAACTTACACCATACACCAAAATAAATTCAAGGTGGATAAAAGACTTAAATATAAGCCATGACACCATTAAAGTCCTAGAGGAGAACATTGGCAAGAAAATCTCAGATATTCCACGCAGCAACATTTTTACGGATATGTGCCCTAGAGCAAGGAATATAAAGGAAAGAATAAACAAATGGGATCTTATC